GGAGGTGTGGTTTCCAAGCCTGACAGCCTGAGGTCTGCCTGTCAGAAAGTCCCGAATCCAGTTGCAGAGGGTGGTGTTGAGACCCAGTGCACTGAGTTTCTTGACTAGTTTCTCTGGGATGATAGTGTTAAAAGCTGAGCTGAAGTTGATGAATAGTAGTCTTGTGTACGTGTTCTTTTTGTCCAGATGGGATAGGGCAGTGTGTATGGCAATGGAGATTGTGTCGTCTGTGGATCTGTTGGACCGGTAGAAATAGACCGGTAGGTTAGAAATGTACCTAAGAAAATGTTAAATTGGCACTTACTGTACATTCCACTAACCCCTGAGATCATTTAGGACCAATTAAGAAATTGTTAAAGAAGGATGTGAAAGCACAAGTATGGTTGGCTTCTTTGTCTTTGTTGGCTGACTTGGATTTGGTGTTTTGTAGCATCTGTCCTCTTTTGTGGCCTGGGGTGTTTTTTAGTGCATGTAGAAGAGTAGCCTTAAGACTTTTCTTTAGCTGGATGTCACTATGGTGATTATTCTCACAAAACTGAGCAGCATGTCCTCCTGGAATAAGGATTGAACCTTTCGATGTCTGCAGAAGCCTTGAGTTCTGAGCTCTGAATTCTCTTATGTTAGCACTTAGTGAAATATTTATTCCTATGCATGCATAAGAAGAGAATGCATAGAGTCCATTAGTGGGGCGCGTTTAAAAGTTTCAAAAGTTGAAAAGTTTTGGGAACTATTTGTGTTACAACTCCTCCATTATTGACCGTGTGTTATTATTTAGTTTTATTCTGTCACACTTACTACAGTATACGCATTTCCTGTGTATGGGTACTTGGTGTCTGTTTTTAACTAATGATTTGCTAAAATAATCAACCAACTGGACTGCAAGGGGGAGTCCCAAAATGTGGGAAACTCTGCATGAATTCATAGATTAGTGTCCATGATCGGTTATCCTCAGCTGGTCTGGGATCACACTGGCAACATAGGTGGGTAGATGGATCATCAAGGTCCCTTGTGCCTCATTGTTTCTGAAAGTGCCTACGTTTTTGTGGCTGTGCATCGAAGTTCTACAACAGCCAGAGAGTTTTTCGGTAGTGGCTTCTCCTGCAGGGATGGAGGTACTGTCTGCTCAGGCCTTGTGCCTGTGTATCCCCAGC